ACACACGTGCATTCTATCTGCTGAATTGGATGTTAAAGTGCCTTATGAGTATTTATGTTTTTACATTGGCACACACCACATATATCCATATACACATGGCTATGAAAATAATAATTAATGGCAAAACATACAAAATACAGTCAGAAGAATGTCAACGGCGGAGATGCTTGGTGTCATGCCTCCACAATCAAATATACACATAAGTATGATTGCAGAAAGAGAGCCTAAATATTTCACTGTCAGAGAATGAGGCGGGCTGCAATTCATTTCTATCTCCTGTGCTTTAGGACAATGACAATTTAATACAAGGCCAGGGGATGTAAAAGAGATAAAAACTGAACAAGCTGGACCAGTGTAATCAAAGATTTTCTCCAGAGAGCTGGTGAGGGCCGGAGCTCATATGCACTTATAACACATCAACCCTGCATTGTTTCTCTCTTCCACAAATTTGCTATGAAGCAAAAAATCAGAGCAAAGCTTATTTGCCCCACGACTTGAAAGTTCTACGGTCCCCCAAATGCTCTCCTCTGATTTCTACATGCCTTCTCGCTGATTCTATAAAAGTTTATTTTATATTAATGCATTGCTTCCATAGAAGCCACTGCTATTAATTGCCATTGCTGTGACAAAGTATCAACCCAAAGCCCAGATTTTCATTTGTTTTATGGAATCACGTAAGCAAAAACCTTCGGAACCGAACAGCATTTTAGGAGTAATACAAAGAATTATTTTGTTTGAATCACTAGGCTAAAAGAAACGTGGAGGAATTTTTCACAAGTGACACGGACTTGAGATTGGGCATTGTGCCTACCTTTCAAAAGAATGGTCTCTTCTTTGTCTGGAGTTCTGGCACGAGAGAGACTTCTCGTGAAACTATTGTTAAATAGACTCATCGAGAAGTTACCTGCCCTGTGTGATGAATAGCGCCATGAACCTAAAATTAATTGCAAAAGTATGACCTGGCTAATGAGATGGTCCTTATCTTTTTTCAGCACAGGGATTTTTCTGCTGGCTCAATATTTGACAAAAAAAAAAAAAAGCCTAAAGTATTATTAACTAAGTAAAAATCTGATTAAAAGACCTCAGAGACACAAATGATCATCCATTCTGAGATCTGGGGAAATTTGGAGTTAAAACTGATTTCCTGCATTATTTTTAAACCTTGACTTCTTGTCTTTTTGACTTTGGGATGAACTATATATATATATATATATATATATATATATATATATGTATACATATATACACACACATATATATGTATATATATACATCCATACATACACACACATATATATTTTTTTTTCCTCTGGCTTCTATTAGCATTTTTTAAGAATGAATTACAATACCATTCTTTATAAGATGGCCAATATATATTCCAGGTCAGATTAAATCAAAGAAATTTATCAAAGGCCGTCAATTTAGAATTAAAGGGGAAAAAAAATGACACCTTATTGGGGAGAAAACACTAGAAAAATGATCATCCATGCAAGAGAATTAATGGCTATCCACAAGGGCTTTGCTAATAACATGGGTTAATTACCGCTGTAACACGCTAGGCTCAGTAAATAAAACAGCAGTGCCATGGACACATTAAGACGAGAAACCATCACTATAAGAACCGACCAGCACCCTCACCCTGGCCTCTGCCCAGGCAACTGAAAGCTGTTTTCCAGCCCTTTCGGTAACAGGAGGATTTCTGAACTTACCACCAAACGTGGAGGGCGACACACAAATACAGTCACACAAAGGACTGGCAAACACGGGGTCCCATCAGCGACTCATCACTCCCATTTCAACCCTTATGGCATGAACTCAGAAGCACTTTTTTTTTTTTTTTTGCTTACCCCAAGGAGAAATCCTATATTACATAATCCACACTGTCTGGCTATCTGGACTATATATAGCTTAGGCTACATATACAACTAGCAGAGGTTATTTAATTTTTAGGAAAAACAGAATGAATCTGTTTGCTTTAGAGATGCGAGGGTCAAGATTACTAGACCACAGCTCAAGAACACTCACCCTTGAGTGTAGCTGGTTGTCACTGTCAGCGATTTACAAAGAAATGATCTGAAAACCCCTCCGACACTGCCTACCTTTAAGGCTGCAGGTGTTTTCAGCAGATTTAAAGAGAAGAAACAGGAAGAAAAGTAACAGAAGCTGCAAGTCTGGAGTTGAAGTATTCTTTCTTAGAAAAATAAACTTAAAGTGGCTGTTCATAGTTCTCAAATAATATCACATCTAAAGTGGCTCAGGCAAGCTCCTACTTAAAAACAAACAAACAAACAACTGTATCCACTCTGATTTAGGCTCAGTGTTATTGGTGATACTGTATACATTTTTCCAACCTGCCTATATTTATCCCATATATTCTGACATTATAGTATTACTTTTGGATAGCTATATTTCCATTTACTTTAGCTTTTAACTAGGACAGAAAAGGCCGAGGGGAAAAGAATCAAAACCCTGGAACAAAAAGAGTAGACCATACAAAATAAAACTTGCAGAGCTCCCAGCAGGAATCTTCAAACCCAAACCTGTTTCATTTTCAACGTCTGGGTTTCCATTGATCAAGCTGAAATTTACTGGACGGTTCCCTCCTTGTTTTGGACTGTTTGAATTGCCTTTCCTTTTTCCAACAGCTGTAACAACTGTTACAACAGTCAGTAAAATGAAGTCCGCTCCCTAATCCTGTAGGCAACGTTACATTTTAATCAGAGGTTGAAAGGGATCCGTGTGATGAGCACACTCATTTAGAATGATTACATTGACATATGTCAAAATGAGCCAAGATATTATTTTCATCTATTTATGCTATCAGTTATTACTGCTATTAAACATGAAACCAGCTTTCAAGTATTACATTCTTTCATGTGCCGGCAGATATCCTAAAATTAAAAAATACATAGTTCTAAGTTAACAGTTTAAGCTCTCCTAATGGTGGTCAAGAAATTGTACGAACCTTTTGCAACAGTCTCCGGAGCAGAAATGGTCCAATATTTCCCTCTGATGCTGCGTTGGTTTCATTTCTATGTATACACACACGTGATGGGGTTTAACCCAGTGCAATTACTATGAATATTAATAGCATGTATAAATTCTGTGGTTTATTAATTGAGACAGAGAGGCAGATGCGTTGCTTAGCATTAGATCTTTCTGTCTGTCCGGTGAACCACGTAACCATCAGAACTGCACCCAGACAATAAATCTGTATTTTTTAAAGATGACTTTTAATTGAGCCAAAAAAAAAAAAAAAAAAGCTAGTTTGAATCTTGCGCCAAAGCCAAAGGACATGTGCTCCGATTTCACATAAATGCATCTGTTTTAAGAGGCTTATCTAGACGAATTATTCAAATTAGCTACCCGAAGTTAAATTCGAGAAAACTACTTTAAAAAGAAGCCTCTGGGGATTTTTAAAGTTTGTCTCTTTATTTAAGAGAGAAAGTTCAGAATCCGGGTGAGCTGATAAGGCATCCTTCCTGCCAGGGAGACATTTTAAACCCTCAACTCTCCAGCCCCAGGTCCACGAACCTTCCAATTCCACTGGGGGCGGGGGGGCAAAACTACCTTTGTTTAGTTTTCATTTTTATTTTCACGCCATTTAAGGTCGTTTCTGCCTCTGAGTGTTTCGAACAGACATCCACACAGCCTTCGGATCTTTTAGTTCTTCCTAAGTCCTACTCTTGGCTAATACCCCGTGTGAGTGTGCGGGTGAGTGTGTGGGTGTGGGTGTGAGCGTGCACACACACACACACACGCACACGCACACTCATACATACGCTGGCAGCCAAGGAGACTGCAAGTCACTTTCATTTCTTTCTTAATTACCAAGCAGTGCAATACGCAGGCAGTAAGGACAGCTAGTGGGCATTCACCTATAGTGCACTGCCTCATCTTCTCGACTTTTATATTTTCCTCACAATCCACAGAGAGAGAAGCTTGCCAAGAAGCACGCTTTTCAGAGTCCTAACAGTTGGTATTACGGTAATGAGAACGCACAGCCACAGAAAGACGAGCCTGTGAAACCTCCTGTAATAGACTAATATTTTATCTTCGCCGTGGATTGAAATTAAGTTTATGACCTATTCATTTACACAAGAATGCCTAATTTACTTCTCCTACCCCCGTCTCCCTTCTCCCCCATTTCTGGCCACCCAAACATATAGATCCATGCGCATCAAGATATTCCTAAATACGAGTTAAACCGCACGTAAGAACAAAAGTACTTTTTCTGTATTTTCTTCTGGACATGATACATGAAACAAATCCACACTGTCTATTCAAGGGGAAATTTCAAAAGTCACTACTGTTTCTTCTTCTTCTTCTTTTTTTTTTTCCTTCCCCTTAAATATTTATAATGTGTGAAAATCTCATGTTACTTAATGGACTGATTTGTCCGTTAAGTGCTGACTTAACGCTAACCATGCAAATAACATTATTCTAGCCTTGAATTGCAAAGGGCCAGTTTTGAAATTGTTCTCTGAAGGAGCATTAGTAAATGTGCCATTTCGCCTCTAACTCTGCCGGGTAAGAAATGACAAGGAGCTGAAAATATCTGTCACACTGCAAATACCTAAGAAGCACTCAATAGTATAAATCATTTTGAATATTGTATTTTAAAACATCTCTCCTCGGAAAATGGGTCCTCGTCAAAGATGCATTTTAACAGTTCACTAAGCATTTGTGCCAACTGCCTATTCTTAGCACCTGAATAAGAAGTGACTGTCACACAGCTGTTTTACTGACAGTCACTGAGCTTTGCGTCAAAGGTAACATTGTAGTCAAGAGAACAATTCTCGACTTAGTGAATTAGGAGATCACCCACCACACAAAAGGCACAAGACAGACACAAACAAGCACTCGTGCACAGAAAACACTCGGGCATTACCTGAACAGGGTGCAAAGACCCATTCTGTCCACCCCCTCCACCCTCGCCCCCCCCCCCCACGCACGCACCCCCACGCCGAGTTTTAAAAAGGAAAGAAAAAGGTACCTACTCTTCCTCGTAGTGCAGGGGAAAAGATTCAGGGAGGCAAAGTTCTACCGAATCCATGTGCGGCCGGCAACCATTATGCGCGCACCCCAGCAATAAATCAAAGTTTCCTTGACACAGCACAGCGCAATTAACACAAATGTTCTCCTAGTGACAAGCCTATAGGCACAGCCAGTTGGGACCAAAGCTCTCACACTCTCCTAATCAAGGACTTAAAGCCCCGATTGGAGCTTATTAATATGAAGTAGGGCTTTACATATGCAGTCCCACCGGCCCAGCCTCGCAGCCGATTGGGGGGCCTCTGCCCAATCAGGACGCAGCGCCGGGAGGCTGCTGGAGCGCGCAGCCAGGCAGGTAGCAAGTGTGCAGACGAGCCACGGGGTGCAAGCAGAGTGGGAGAGGGGAACGCAGCCCGGACGAGCTGCAAAGGCTCCCGTGCATGCTGGGCTCGCCCCCCCCCCGACCCCCTCGCTTGCTTGCTTGCCTGCCTGCCTGCTTGCTTTAACCCCCCCTTTCCCTCCTGGGAAGCTGCCAAACAAACCCCAACTAACTTAACTCTCTGAGCACTGGAGGCCTGGGTCTCTGCCCTCAGCTGCGCTGCCGGGAACAGAAGAGCTCACGCAGACGCAGCTAATTGGGGCCAGGCTCCTGCGGAAGGTAGAGAATGGAGTTTGTCCTGCTGTGGTCTGTGTGTCCTCCACGGGGCGGGCTGGCTGCTTGTTGGGTGCCCTCGTGGCTCGTGCGTTCGTCAGCGCGGCCCTTGCTGTGTTCCTGCCCCACAGATCCTGGGCGTTTTAAAGGGTCAGAGACATTCTTCTGGGTTGTGGGGCAAGTGAATGGAGATCCTCTCCGGGGAGGAATTCAGGTGTTCACAGCTGCAGAAGGGGAACGGGAGCCTCCGGATAACTAGGGAGAAGGCTCGGGTCTGTTCTCTGCGTACACATTGCTGTACCTGCTGCCTCTCTGCCGATGGCTCTCAAACTGCAGGGCCGATGGGCCTGGCCAGGTTAGGGGTGGGAGGCCCGGGCTGCACGGTCAAGAGCATGTCAAAGGTCCCTCCGTGCGTGTGGACAGAATACAGACTGCATTTGGGGTCCCGACAGCCAGCACTCAAGCTGTTTTTAATCATATACTTATTTCAACACAAGCTTCCAAACTGGGAGACAGACGCAAATATACATGATGTTGCCCCAAACATCAGCTTGCCAATAAAATGCAGTTTACCTATTCGTTCTAACCCGTAACACACCCTGAGTGTTTTGAAAAATCAGCTCAGAAACATTTTGTAAATCACCACACAGTCGGGTCAGTAGAAAGACGACTTCCAAACAGATAATAATTTACAAAACTAAGAATTCTCAAGCAAAAGTTGTACTTTTTTTTTTTTTTTAAGAGGATATAGGAAGAGAGGATGTTTTTCCTCCAATGGCATCTAGTGTGTTTCCGTATAACAAAGAGTTTTCTTAGGTCCCAATTTAAAATACAGAATTTGTTATACAAGCACATGTATTTGGAATGGATATGAGCTATTTATAGCAAAGAAAGAACTGCTACCTGATTGGGAGGGGAAGACCCATGATTTTTATATAATTCATCTCTACTGCTGACAACCTTTTGTATCACAGGTCTACATAATATTAATAGTATAATCTTTGAGATCAAAATCAACTAATTCAGATATACAGTGTTATTAAATCCACTAAATCAGAATGTGACTCTTTTTCTCAATCCTCTCAAATTTTCTAGGTCTATACAAAACAAAACAAACAAACAAACAAACAAACAACAACAACAAAACACTCCAATAGAACTGCCGCATTTAAGTTCAGAATTTTAAAATGACAGACATGATTTGATTCCCTCCACAGAAGACAGCAATTTTCCTACCATGTATTCAGCCACATCTAAGATTTGGGCCTGATTCCTTTCATTTTATTTGTGGCCCAAATGCATACAAGTTTCTAGATGGGAACTCACATAGCAAAAACTGTGCCTGAGAAATCTGTATAAAGGCAGGTAGTAAAAGCTTAATTACCAGTAGCATTATGCTGTCTATATTGTCAAATGTGAACTCTGCAATTAAGATGTAAATTTGGTTGTGAGCAGTGAATTAAAAGAGCTTTGAGATGTGGAAGAAAATCCAAGCGTTTTGCAGACACCAAGAGGAAAAAAAAAAAAAGATTTGTCTATTCAGTCTAAAACGAGACATGTCATCATTTTATAATTAAAAAAATAAAAAGCCATTTGAGAAAGAAACACTTTTTTTTTTCTCTAATACAATATAAGGAAGATGGAAGCTAATAGTGCATTAGAAATACAGTGTTAAAAAGATATTGCATTGAGACATGACTACCTTGATTTCTGAATAAACCAAGATGTTCAGGGGAATGAATAGATCCCATTGTACATATTTTTAAAAGATATGTCAAAAAAAAGTTTCCTTCTCATTTAGTCCAGAGACCTTTTAAAAAATGAAAATAAACATTGTTTAATGTACTCCATGCATTCAGATTTTCCACCTGAGTGGAATCCTGTACTGTGGTCAGTTTCTTTGCATTAGCATGCTGAGACAGAACTTGTTTATTACTCCTCCAAAATGGCTTTTTAAAGACAAGATTTGTAGTCAATTATTTACCAATGCACCTTCAGTCACCACGCTGCATAGGAGTTATCTTTTATTTTCTGGAATTTCCTTATTCCCTTTGGGTACTAATTTGACCCATTATGAACCATTTGGTTGAATTAGTATATATTTTTAAACATCTTTCGACTCAGATTCAGGTGCACATCTTTTTCTGCACTCCCAGAGATCCGTGTAGTAGCACACGTGGCGGAGTCCCCACCGACCTCCCACGAAACATATCTCAGCCATGCAAGGTGCCGTGCTCACTGGGCTGGCTGCTTTCTGAATGACCAGAAGTACACAGGCTTGTCTAGCTGTGTTCTTCCCTGGGGATCAATGTGTCACCTCTACGAGTCAAGGACCAAAGACTACACCTACTGTCCTGAATCCAGTTTAACCAATTTAAATTTTAAAATAATATCTCCGGCACCAAACTTGCCAGACAGCTTCCAGGATATTTTATACACACACAGCTTAGTCATCTCAAGACTCTCCCCCTGTCACGGTGCTTTCTCACCTTGAACGAGGAAAGAGTGGATAATCACAGGACATAGACCTACCCTGAGCAATACTGGGTATAAACCTTTAAGAATCTCAACTCAAAGGATTTGGGGGGAAAAAAACAAACAAACAGATAAACAGCTTAGAATAAACACCTATTGCTAATCCTTCTATACACTTCACAATCTTACCACAAGGAGTCTACCAAAAGCAGGATAAATGGACCAAACAAAAGGACCTCTTAGGATTGTTTCACAAAGAATATTCATAAATTAGTTAATATCAGTCTATTATGCATCACGCCCTGGGTCCAAGCATAGTTTCAATTTCTTCTTTAAACAGCGCAGTCACAAATACCCAGAAGACTTCATTCTCAGGCCCCCGATAACAGTCACCAAGCAGAAAATATACATCATTTCCATTTGAAAAAAACCAGAATGGCAACAAACAAAACGGATGTGGAAATAAAAGGTAGACTCCTGTTGTCTGTTCCAGAACTTTAAAACATTCTAATGCATTCTCATGTTGCTAAAAAGAGATGAGAAAATGCATCCTCTTGGTAATTATTGCAAATTTATGGCTATTTTTAGTTCCCAACTCCATTTTCTGAAAATTAACAAGACTAATCTGTATTAAAGGGAGGTTATCTGTCATACTTTCAACAATAAAGATGAAAAAAAAAAATTTTTACAGTTGCCACACTCTTTTGGAAGCAGATTTTGATTCTGTGTGGCACATAGACCATTTGTTCGATATTTACAACTCCACCAAGGCACCGCAAATGTAGATTTCCAAACAGCCACCTTCGCTGGCCATTTCTCAAGATCATAACGCCTCTGAAAAGCTGTTTAACTTTCTTCACTGCATGGAGTGTAATATAATAGACCACACTACAGAACGCAGACCAAGACTCTTCCAAACTCCGATCTTTAACTCCAAAAGAAAACGCACAATGCACATCCCTGGAAGAGGAGCCTCGAAGGGCTGACAGGAGAACTAAGCTTCAAGCTCCCCTCTGACCCCACGTGAGCTGTGTGGCCTTGAGCAGGCCACCGCCCTGATCCGTCCCCCATTCATCCTTCGGTCTCGGGACTCCCCTGACGCTGGAAACCGGCTGAAGAACACCTTTCCCACGGAGGACACGAAGACTTCTTTCGAAGTCAGTCCGACTGCTTTCCTGTTACCGCCAAACCTCTACCAATTCATCATGCCTCATTTTCTGCTGCCTTTCATTCCGAGGGCACAGGCTTTGATATTTAAATGATTGTCTCCATTGGCAAGAGGCAATCACCTTTACAGCAAGTGATCACCTTCCAAGGGAGCACAAATAAAAATCCTTTCCTGTTGACAAACCTCTTGTCCTATAAATCCACCCCACTCCCAAATTACCGAAACTGTGTAAAAATTAATATATATATATATATATTCATTCTCTGGGGCACAATTATATCACCTCCACAACAGATCAAATTATTTTCATTGTGTGTTTGTAAAAGTGGGGGGCGGGGGGGTGGAAATCAAAGGAAGACAGAAACTAATAGAAGTTTCTGTTTAATTAATTCAGGATTATTTCACTTTCATTGTGCCAAGCTAATAATATACATGGCAAAATGTCAGCAAAAAATTAAATTATGAACTACAGTATCTCCATTGGGAACCCTGCCTTCAGCTATGGTCTGTTTCCAACATGCTTGCCAGGGTAAACTACCAAATGCATTTCACAGGATCCTCCAAGATCTCTGTTGTCTGCATGGCATGTATTTACAGAGCAACCGTTAACATGGGGAGATTACACATTAATAAGTGAGTTGCAGTTATATTCTTTCCTGAATGTTAAGCACCATGAGCTAAACGCAGAAAACACTCAAGGTCAGCGTGCTACCCAAGACCTTTCCCGGCAGCTGTAGTATTATGATAATCAAGCTTAAAATATTCCTATAGAAAGAGTAAATTAGCCTTTTCACTTGAAAGATGATTATGATAAACAATAAACCTGAGAGAGGACAAAATCCCTATTTTTAAAAGCCATAAATTGTTGACTCAATCATGTGTGTGATCGCATTGTCCAAAATAAAGGGCGTCTGAAGAGG